ATAGTGTGAGATTCCTATTTATCCCGACTAGCAAAGGTTCAGGTAGACAATCATTAGGTACATAAGCTTAAATTAATACTTAAAAGGAATCTGTTCCATCTGTGGTGCGTAAAAAAGAATTCCCTTGAAAGCGTCTTAAGGAGAGTTGACTGTACAGACAGCAGCTCTGTGACGTGAGTAGATTTTGTTGTTCGTAGACCTGAAAATCTAAGGCAACTGTGATAAATCCTTAAAAGTTTTTTTCTGATATGTGTAACTCTACAGAAATTGCTGATACTCTGATAGCTTGCGGTAATCTTCAATGGCTAGAAAATTGCTGTTCGAAGTTATAAAAAACAAATACACGGCGTGAGAAATTGAGTCACATACTGTAAGGAGTATACCAGATAGTATCCCTGATAGAAGCGTCCCATCTTGAAAGAAAGAGTGACAAAAAACCGTCTGTTTTACTTGAGTGACGAAGACCCAGCTGTGTTTTTTACAGCTTTTACTCCACTATGACAAAAGTATTGATGTTGATGAGAGAGAATGTTTCAGGAATCGAAGTCCTATGTAACTGATAATGGTAAGCCTTCGGCTTTGTGTTGAGATCATACCTGACTATCGTGCATGTCATACGTCAGCTTTGAAGAGGAGGCAATATTTTTTGCGTATGTGTACATTAAATTAGTTGCAGTGTAAGATATGTAGGGGGGAAGAAATTGTAATGGCCGCATGCGTTTAAACTTTGTTACCGAGTAAAAAAATGCGATTGCTATTTTCTTCCGAAGAACTTTAATCGGTTGCGCGATGCCTCCTCACTAGTGTTCTTGCTGTACGATCAGATTCCAATCGATCCAGTATTATTAAACCTAGAGTGTAATTATACGCTATAGAGTTTGGGTGTCTGGTGGATGCTGTGGAATACATGTGTCCACCTGAGTAATAATCTTCATCGGACTGGAATTTTTTCGCTCTGAGATAAGCATCTACTTGCCTGATCAGTAACATACCAACATGCATCCTGAAAGAGTGATCGTATGGTTCAGTGGTTTGCCTTCTGGTTGGGATCCGAACTCAAGCCTAGATTAAAGGCGTTGCTGGTGAGGTTGATTGTGTCGCCTAGTTTCCTTGTGAAAAATGCTACAGTTAGATGTTACATTCCATTACGTTCCATCTTACGTTCCATTCATGAATTTAAACAGGTAGGGCATTCCCCGAGTCTCCAGTCTAATGATTCACTTGAACTCAAATTGCACGAAATACAACACCCATCTGGACACCTATTTGGTTTTCACGGAACGCTCGCCTAAACCGCATCTGAAGCCTCCGTAGAATCTCGAAGTATTTTATGCAAATTTGTGTGTAGTGTGCTACATCTATACAACTGTCAGGACGCGTCCAGACACGAAAAGTACATGTACAGAGAACGGCGCGTCTCTGAGGTCACCATCGGTACCACATGTTCCGAATTGCAGGGGCGTGGGCGGAGTTCACGGCTTAGCAGCATCCGACCAGCAGAGTGGGTGCGAGTTAGTTCGCGTCATGACAGCCGCGATTAACTTCACAGAACGAACAAGCGAATGAGTATATTTGGCCGTTTAGCATCCTATATGTTTACACAGAAGCTCCGTGTATTTCAATTGACAATGCCGTCGTGTTCCGCGTTCTTCTGTCTTCTCCTTACAGCGTAGTCAGACAGACCTAACGAATAGGCGGCCACCCATGATACATCAACAATGTATTACATTATCTCAAATATCGCAGCAACTATAACACGAGGTGGCCTGGTGCGGCACACTCAATTAAGGATATCATCATAAGCGAGTGATTCAGCTGGGATTCAGGTGAGTCTCCCGTAAAAACCAGAGTGGTATGCAGATGGGTGTCGTACGCAAATGAGTGTGTGTCGAATTTTATGCAATACTGATGTGAGTAAATGCATCTCAACTTATCCAAGGCTACTTCCTTCTACAAAGACCGCATTAGGCTGCCTATGTCAAAGCACTTCTCTTAACATATTACTCCTCAGTGTTAGTGATGAAAGTCCCTGTGCCTATTTCATGGAGTTACGACCAACCTCCTGTTTCAGATTACTGCAGTCCATTGGTTTCTCCCTTTGGTGTGAACTCATTAGAATAAGTGCACCACCAGAGAAGAGAACAGTTCAAAGGCTACTGTTGTTGACATGCGTTCTGATGTCTAACCAGAAATTTCTTATCGAAATGTCACGGCCTCAGTGTCAAAGAAGCCGTTATTCCACAAACCTGACGAACAGGCTACGGTCATACTCTTAGGCAAATATGATAACATTCGACTGAGCAGAACCAAAACTAGATATGTGAGAAGTGCAAGCAACACAGAGACACGTGTGCACAAAAAGTAATTGAAACAAAAGGCAGAATAAGTTGGTGTCCCTTTCACGGAGTGTGACTTGAGGATTGGTTAATTGAAATATTGGGGTGTGGTATTCGTTGTCCATACGGTTTGTTTGAACCAGTGTTTTTCAAGGTAACGCTGTTAAACAAGACTGAGGCGGTGACGAGGAGCCGTAGATATGTTTGCTCATGAGAATAAGTAATCAGCTGGCGTGGATATTCTGCTTAGCAAACTGTCTGTTCAATTTTTCAGATTTTGAATATCCAAGTGATAGAACTTGTATTTTAACGTACAGGTTTTGGTCTACTGCAGTAGCATTCCTGAATGGCGTTCTTGATTGTGTATGTGAACGAACGGAAATAGTGTAAACCTGTTCCTTTATTATAGATGTTTGGTGCTACATGAATAGACCCCTCTGAAAGTGGACATACTTGCAGCGTTTGTTTTGGTCTGAATGGCCTGAATAACATTTTTCTACTCGCGCTGCTTCTAAATGGAAACTGACCAACGAAATCCCACTAAATTTATGGTGCCTTGGCAATGTTGTGGAATGTAGGCGCGCTGCTTGGTTGTTGGTCTGTTCGCCGAGCCTGGCAGTTGGATTGCAAACGTTTCATCACCAATCGAGGTGACATCGTCAGTGCAGGGTTGAGTGGGTGCCTTGCTACCGTTATCATTCAAAATTTGCACATCACGTATGGCTTACATGTAGTTTTCTGTTCGTAGAATACATTGTGAACATTTTTCTCACCTTTGAGGGCACTCTGACAACTGCTTACTGCGTTTTAAACATTGTGCATTTTGAGAATTCTCGGTATAGGTGAATTCCTACAAGAGCTCGTAACAGAGAGTGGGATATACTATGCATTGAATGGTCTCCTGGCTGATCATTTCAACTCCAGAAACATTCTCCAAAATGATGAATGACGCTATTTTTCCACGTACTGTAGTCCCTCCAAGACAGCGTTCCTTGAGGAACGAGTCCTGGGCTGTTCTTGTGGTGAACGTCTTTCGGCATAATCGCGCAACAACGTGTTACTGGCATGGGAAAATGTATGATCTCAATTACAGTAACCTTTCCTTTTGGAAGATAGTCATTCATAGTGTTCCATCTCTGTAAGTGCGCGTTTCCTATTGACGATTCTGTTTTTGCGTTTTACTTTATGCATGTAAACTGATGAGTGTTTCATGTATGTGGGACCAAGACAAAAGATTTGGGTTGAAAAGGTTGAGCATCAATTAATCCCTTTGAGTATTTGTCGAACTTCCAGAACTGCATCTACATTAAGCCAGTTCGAACAGTCCTCACTCTCTTTAGGTGTGGTTGTTCTCGACAGTCCGTTCATACAGCACAGCTCTCAGGTTTGTGCCAATTCAAGGTCATCTATGACATACGATTGGACTTGTCGTCATCTGAACTCCAAAGGCGGCAAAAGAAGCAATCAAGTTGCTTTAGGTGAGAAACGTCCATCTGCTGGACCGTGAAAAAGGCTTCCTTCGATGGGCGCTGGTTCATTAGTTGTAAGACGCTCGTAGTTCTGGCGCTCAAACTTCGGCGTTTCTACTTATGTGGACCAATCATAGGTTTCAGATAGAGCAACACTTGAGTTTAGTGGACGTATTAATTCATGATAACAGAAACAAACAATCATATTCTGACAGATGGGATATTAAGAAGGGAGTTTTATTGTTACCAGCACTATCAGTTAATTTCCCATATTGATCTGTCATTGCTGTTTGGTACTGGTTACCAAGGGTTGTGTTCCTAGTTGTCATCAGGTTTTAGGCAAGTCTTCAACCTCAGCCAGTTCTAATCGGCTGGTTCCGGTATTAGTTCTTAGAGGTCGCTTAGGGTTGATACACCACATGGATGTTTTGGCATTTTCACAGTTATGTAGATTGCAAGAACTATGGGACAAATTTTGCCGATGTTAGTTTCAACAGGATCTTGGTACAAAATGCTGGATAGCTGCGGGGAGCTAGCAACAATGCAACACAGTAGGTTTCGGCATGATGTGGCGGAAGACAAATAAAGATAAACCATATATGTTAAAACTAAAAGTTCCTCTCTGGGGGCCTGTGTAGTGTATGGAGCGTTTTGGATGCGTGAGTGTTGTTTCCATTAAAACCGTCTCCATCCAGCTTGTCAACACGTACGTGAATATTTTGTAATTCTGGAGTGTACGATGTCAGTGGAAGCTCAGTACAATGTACTTGCTTTTTGCCCTCAATTAACTTACTCGAAGACTCCAAAATTTATACAATATAACCCCGGTGAAATTAAACTCGTTTTTGTTTGCCCGAATTTGCGCATTGTTCCTGGATTCGGACAAGTGTAGGAGGCAACAAGATTTGGATCGTTTAGGGGAAAGAACATCTTTTTCCAAAGAAATGAAAACAATTGTTTTGTTAAACAACAGCCGAGCATACGGTTGTGCGAGCCAGGGCCCGCAAGTAATCAGGTTTATTTATACCAGGTTCGTATGACTAAATGCTGAGTTATGGTAATCAACACCGCAAATGCTAGAACGTGTTAAGACAACATGTATGGTCATTTTGGAAGGGTATATCCAGTGCAGCTTGATTATGCAGCTAATATTTCACCTCGTTCCAAACCTGTATCGATTACTTCTGCTTGATAGTGTGCTCATGATCAAGCACTGCAATCCAGCCGGTGTTCGATTGATTTGGCAATCGTTACGAACAAGACTGCACTAAGTCCACGGGCACCATCCAATCGGAAAGCTTTCTTCCTGTGTTAGCGCAGACTACTTTGCTTTTATTGGTTTGCTCGAATAGGCAGGTGCTTTGTGTCATACAATAGTGAGCTTGTATTTGGAAAGGCACGTAGTTCACCGCAACCATGGGTGCAATTCTGAGTAGTATTCTACGATCCTTTCGAATGTGGCCAGTTAAACAGTACAAAATTCTCATCCTTGGACTAGATAATGCAGGAAAGACTACGTTACTTTACTGGCTTCGATTACACAACACTATTGTGACCGCGCCAACTGTTGGAATAAATGTTGAAGAAGTGAAGTTACCACATTGTGGAGCTAGTTTCGTTGCCTGGGATTTTGGTGGACACGATAAATTACGTATTTTGTGGTCGCGATTCTATGAAGGCACCAAGGGGTTGTTATTTGTTGTGGACAGCTCGGACATTAGGCGTCTTGATGTGGCGCATGAAGCGTTGAGGCACGTCCTTGACGACCCCCTCATGGAAACCGTGCCTGTGATTGTGGTGGCGAACAAGCAAGATCTTCCCGGTGCTATTAGGCAAGAGGAACTGGAAAAACGACTCAAGTTGTTCAGTCTAACAATGGAGGGGCACAAATGGTCCATCATTCCGACAGTGGCCACGACTGGAAAAGGACTACTGGAATCCATGGAAGCTCTGGCTATTCTGATCAAAGAAACAATGGAGAATGAAAAAAATTCCACATAACTTCTCTGTTACGCTTTAATTGACTGTATATACCATTGTCTTTCAGAAACTTCCTAACGAAGGTGATTTGAGATTTTGGGTGTTTCAGAGTGTCACTAAATTCCGGTGAGTACCGTTTAAAAGTGAATGGCTGAAGTGATGACTGTTTTTACATATACTATACCGTCGCAGTCACCGAGATATTGAGGGTTAAGTCAACCCACAAGCTCCATCTCAGATGTATCATACGAGGCCGTTTTTTGGGTGACGTTTGCTAGTTTCTTGTTGGCTTTAACTAATGCGCTTTGTTTTTCACCATTCGAAATAAATGGTTTTCCCTTTTTCGGCTTTATTTTTGTGAATATATACATCCAAAAATAATACGAATCTATCATGAGAAGTGGGTGAAAAAAGTTTGGGGACGTCTGTAACTGCGCTTTATGAGTTGGGGGCCACTACAAAGCCTCGATTTTAATAAATCGATAGGGTTGACGTAAAGTTTATTTTGTCAAACACACTTAACCTATATTTCGAAAAACTGGAGTTGAGATGCATGCAAAAGTTTGATGTTGTGCGCAGTTGCCGCAAATACGCTTCAGTATACCCTGAGAATCTCCGTTTGATTGATATCACAAGGCTGAATTAAGGTTTTTTTTGTGGTTTCAAGTACGGTGAGTCGCTGGAAATCATCTATTTATTCAGATGTGAAGCCTACTTTCTTGTACAGTGCAGTAGGTGAGAAACCTACGTGAATCTCAGAACCAGTGTGATCTACTCGACCGCACGATGTTACGACGGAAAATAAATACCTAGCGAGACGGTTAAAGTGTGAACGGCTTTATAAATGAGATAAACTGGACCTAGTTAAAAAACTTCTACGAATTCTCGAAAGCACGTCGATAGCCGATCGTATGTACATAGATGGTGCGAAATGCAATTGTGATTTCAAAACATATTATTTCTGTATTTGCGTCAGCCAGAAAACTAGGACAGCAAAGGAGTGAGTAATATACAATGCAGTCAAAATTGCTTTTGTAAGTTTTAACCCACATATGGTAAACAAGGGGATCAGCATCTCCTCTGTGATCAATTTGGTTCGGTTCTCTAAGCTTGTGTCTGAAATTGACACTACGTGATAAGCTATCGTGCAAATAAAAGCAGGTGAATATTTTACTGACACAAAACCCCTTTCTTCTATTTTACTACTATAGTAGGAAAACAGATTTGTTTTAAAAAATATTTTGGCTCTGTACTATCATTAGTAATTCTTCTTTGCGTGTCTACACCATGTCTACTCTCTGTTCAGGGGACCTCTCATATAACATCTTAGTTATACAGCCCTCAGAAGATAACATATTGCCAATGAGATCTCCTCTGTTGAGTTCTATCAGTTTGTTTCCTCAGAGGAGGTTAACTGGGTAAGTATGTAAGTTCTGAGAGAACACTTTGGAGGGACCCGACAAGAATGTTACTTTGAGAACCTTCACGGTTTCTATCTGTACAATATGCGATTCATCACATTCATTTACAAGTTTCCTGAGGTGTAAAAATATTATCGCAGATGGGTATACTGAATGATTCATCGAGCAGCATAGCGGATGCGATTCGGAAACCGAGCTACTCCAAATTGTGCCAAGAAGGCAGCTCATCTTGGACGCAACATTTAGAAATATCTGCACCGCAAAGACTTAAGGAATAACACATAATCAGTCTCAAACCCTATAAACCTGTTGGCACAATCGCGATTATTTTAACTATCTGAAGAATTGAATTTTACGATTTTCCTCACAAGCTGTCCTGCCATGAATCTTATGTTATCTATTTTACAACTTGCAACTGAGTTGAAATTTTCTTTGACATAGTCGCTTGAGTTCTTACAAGGAGGACAGCTGTACTTATTATGAGAAATCTGGTCAAAACAATTTTCTTTCGTGATATCTCACAGGGACATATCATAACATTAGCTCCTAAACTTACTCGATTTACTAAAGCCACTGCGTTTAGGACACCGAGGTTGATACTTTTTAGGTAAAAATTAGTGACCCATAATTCAAAACCGACTCCATTCTTCAGCCGTTAAATAATTACTAATGTAGCTTCGTTTTTGAAGCATGGAGCCCATTAGCCAATCCAACTGTGGTAATTTTGTTTTATTCAAGCGATCGAAGTGGGATGGTACAGCGGAACCCTTCTATTTTCAAAGGATCCTCTTTTCAATTTTGATGTATAAGTGAATTCATTCAAACAATGCATGGATACAAGTGCATGGATACATGGCACTGGTGGAAATGAAGATGAAGTAAAGCCCTCGCTTGTTTTAGCCGTGATGTGAAACCACTAAAGTTGAAAAGCGGTTTAAGAAAGCAATACAGATCGCAAAGCTGCTAATATGCACCATCAGTTTATTTTACACTGAGCTCTTCTGTGCTACATCCTTTCGCAATCGATAATCAGGAATTAGTTTCATAAACTCGATTTGTTTCTGACTTGTGATCACTGCTCAGTTTATTCATCTATCGGGTTGGATCAGTAGGGTTTACAACGAGTGAGTAGACACCAGTAGTTCTTGATCGGATCATGCAGTGATATGGTTGTTTTTCCAACAGGCAGACGGATACCTTTCGTTTTTGGCTACTTTCTACTTCCTAATTTCAGACAATGAAAGTGGGCAACTGATTCAGTGATAATATAAAGTAGTCAGCACAACGGGCTACTACTATTAGATTAAACTAGTCAAAATAAGTCGGAATAAGCTGTCATTCAAGTTCCTCTTGGTGGAAGAAAAATATACTAATACCCAATGCAGCACTTCTATTAGTGTACATCTTTCGCGAGCATTAAGTATCATTGGGATTTTGTGATTGTTAAAAGTGCCGCCATTATTAGCTATTAGTTTTTTGGCCTGTTCAAGTTTGGTGAAATTGTTTGCTTTGTAGTTTTCTGATATGCCGGAACCCTATCATTACCTCATACAAGATCCCTACAAATGACTGTCCTGTATTCAGGAAAAGTCATGTGCCAAAATACATTTAATACGGAATTTCATTCACCCGGTGCGAATATGCTTGATGTTATCTGCTATGTACAGCATGGTTGCATTTTTGCTGACCATGATCAATACCAGCAGGGAACCAATCAGCTGTCCAAAAAACCGAGTTAACGTCCATTTACTTATCCAAACTCTGGTGATTGGCTGATCGGGGATCTGGGATCTGTGGCTTGATTTTCTATTGATTTCGTATGGTTCATCTGCTCAGGTTTTCGTCATGGGAGATGAACAGAAAAACCTTCTATGCGTGAGTTGAAGATGAGAGCTATGAAAATCACAAATATCTGGCACATCGTCTGTATGATTGTGAGTATGACCTCTTTCAATCCTACACAAGCGGAATATTCTGAACGTGAGCTGGTTAAGACTCTGTTGGAATCTTACGATGCTGTAAGCCGACCGGTGATGAGCGGACATGATATAGTCGTGGTTACGCTGGGACTTGCGCTTCAGAAGGTTATTGACTTGGATGAAAAGAACCAAATATTGTACACATCACTACAGGTTCAACTCGAGTGGCATGATGAGGTACTTGCTCGTGGAGCTTTTCGTCACATGGGGGATAAATTAACTCCAAACGGTAATCAGAGGTGGAACGACAGCGAGAAGTTCGAGGAGGAAAAACTTCTCATCATCTTGCCCGCAGACAAATTATGGACACCGGATTTATACGTTTATAACAATGGAGCAGATGGGACAAACGGGCTAGTGTACGTACGCGAGAGTTGGATACGTGTGTATACCACTGGTGAGTTACCCTTAGGAAGCACGTCCTCAAAATTACGCACTATGTGTCTTAGCTCGGTGTTTATATGGGAAATTCACTGAGAGGTTGAGTCTTGTAATCTGGACAAGGTAAACGCGAAACCCATGACACAAATGGATTTTTGTCTGATGTGTATATTTCGGTTTCTACCTTTTTATTTTATCGGTTTATTCTGTAGCACAGGAAGACCAGTATTTGTTGAAAATACGACACAGGTTTTGGTAGCAAAAGTCTAAAAGAGGATGATATAGCATGTTGTCTGGGAAAACTTAACAATAAGGCTTCGAAATTTTGTTCTTATAAGAACTGTAAATACCAACCAATTAAACCGCAATATAAGAGACAAGGTGAACGATAAGAAACAATGTTTTACCAACAAATGTGTAGTAGTAATAAATGCTGCACGGATATAGCAGCCAAAGGATTTTCTGCAACTCGTAACGGTCACGCCAAAATCCCGGTTCGTATTTAGAGAAATACTATCAGGAGTTGAAGCTCCAGGCTTATGTGGAGACAGTGATTAGTGACAGTGCCCCGGTGAACTACGGGTTACTAGTGCGAAAGGTCGGATATCCACATCATATCACGCTATTTTTAACGACCTAGGCCCACAAAACAAAGTTTCCATTACAACCGCATTTGACCCCTTTGAATATTCTGAGGCCAACCTCGGGAAACCATTAATTGAATGCGTTAATATTCCGATTCTGAAATGAGGTACATTTTTGACTGTTGCCTTAAGACTGTAGTGCTTGGGGAACAGTTAACTATTTTCCTTAAAGTTTTTTTAAGCCGGAGGATGATCGCGTATCTATGAGTGAAACTTTTACACCGAGTTGTAAGGCATTATTTATTTATGCCTTTGTTCATATCACTGTCTAAGTTTGCTTGAAACAATCAACCACTTGCACTCAATGCAGTATGACTGTCTGCCATCAAATAATGTTGTAGCTTATGCCAGTTCGACTGATAATGTTCAATAATCTAAGGTGAACCCATATTGGACATTGAATTGAAAGCACAGTGTACTAGGTACTGGTTTCAAATAGAAAGCATGAAATTATTCGGCTGGTAATTTAGCGGCCACATTACTTTTTTAGGAAGTCAGTCCGTACGACAACAATTTTGAGCCTCCATGCTGCCAAGAAAGTAAAAGTGCATCAGGGAGTCATACATATCTCAATCTACCAACGGGTGAATAATGTGTGAATGTGACTGCGTGGAAAGCTAGTTAATGGAAAATTAGGCCCAAATGCGAAGTTTAGTCTGTACACACCCATTAGGAAGTTACTTCATTTCATGATTTTCAGGAGGAATAGATTAACTAACACTATCCTCAAAAAGGACGCACATAACGTACAAGACAGTTTCAATTGATGGGTTCTTGGAAAGCCGATCGTATCCCGATACCTTACTGGTAGCTAGGATTTGACAAACGAAAAATCACCATGCGCTTCCTCAGAGAATAAAAGTTTCGAGTTATTGAAAGGAATATAGAATAATACGGACAAAAGCGTTTTCACAGAGAAAACAAATAGTGTTTCTTTGTCTAGACAGCATACAGTTGCTTTGAGGGCGTTTTGACAAGTGTCGAGAATGTGTGAAGCCGGGCACTCAGAGCCATGGTTTCCAAACGCATTGTCATCTAACAAAGATTCAGTCAGGTATTTGGACAAGAGCAAAGAATCTAGAGTTTCCGGAAATTTTTAAAAGATAATCCTTTGTATTTGAACGTCACGTATCAATCTGAACCACTTGTCAGTTTTAATCAGCTTTGATATATCTTGAGTGGAGAAATTTCTTTGCATTTGCCATACAAAGCATATTTGGTCTTACCTTAACTAGTTCGTGAGTTTAACCTGAACGTTTAACCTGAACAACAAAAATATTAAGTAAGCTTTTTTTGTGAGTTAATTTAATGGTTGTTGCAACTGACTTCGTAAATCGAATGCACAAACTATAGATGCTTTCCCATTTCACCCTTATCCAATCTAATACCTTCATCAACTTGTTTACTCCAACAAGGAATATCATTCATTTGCTGGCTTCAGCCATCGTGCTGAATGAGACTTGAGAAAGGATGCAATGACAAATGTGATAAGCAATCCACTGTATAAAAGGCAATCACCGGTGACATTGGAATCCAGTTATTAGTAATTCATTCTCCCAGGCATCATAAACGTCCTGCAAAATTAAATACTAGCTTCAAGAAATTATCCAGTGAATACGTCATAAAGTTGTTTGCAGGTGTGTGCTCACATATTCCCACCACATTGTAAAACTTACATAAAACTAAAGCGCTCCTAGTATTTGTGACTTTATCGATCAGGATGCTGACCACTAGAGAAAACATGTAATGCAGCGGATATGGATCTGAAGTACTCGAACGCAGTTTATCCATCAACACAGTTGTGCGACAGACTCTTACTGGAATCCTCTTTAGCATTCTTTGCTGAAACTTTATTCCCGGATAACCTAGGCAAGCAAAGATCCACCGGTTTTTTGTGGTACTTAAACAGCTCAAAACTCATTCCCTGGTAAATCCCATTGAGTGGGTTTTGAGCAAAGACCAACGTTTCTGTGAATCATAACTGTATACTGGCGTTCAGCCACTGGACGCAGTTTAGTTCAGAGGTATTCAGAAGCGTACTGTCTAGAAATTCCTACACCAACAAAACATTGCATCGTTGAGTAGTTGTGCCTTGTTTTACTGTTTGCTGATAAGCGAGAGTTATTGTAGTCCAAACGAATGTACCAACCAATCGTCTCGCAGGAGAACAAGACCTTTTGAATGCTGGTTTATCATGGGTGAACATTGACTCCACTGTAGCTGACACTTTTTGAAACGAAGCCCTCAAGGGGAAGCAGCCACATACGTCTAATTGTCACTTCTTAAAAGGCAAAACGGCCTATCATACGTGTTGCGGGGGATGGAAGTAAATAGGAGGTTATATCATATTAGTGTCTTCCAGCCCCTGGCTAACCCGTAACGACGACTATAGACTTGCAGTGCACGCAGTCTCCGAGCGTGCAAAAACTTTACTACTTATACAATGGTCCAGTGATTTCTGAAACCTTCTAAACTACGCTTAACCACCTGCTTTTAACCAGTAATAGATGGAGGTCTAGTACTGAATTAGTTGAACCTTCTTCGGCAACTATACAAACTGCATGCCTAGATTTACCAGAAAATAGTAACTCCAACCTACACATTCGGGAGCCGTTTTCCTCGAATCCTGTTCTGTAGAATCATACCTTTTGGAAATTGAATGCTTCAAAAAGGTAGTAGAGCATCGGTTCTAGACAGCAATAACAAATGAAACAGAAAAACAAAGGTATGCTCAAATTATTCTGCGCTTCAATTCAAGAATAACCGTACTTACTCAGCCTCAAACTCGGCATCCCTAGATAGACAAACCTTTTCAAGGGGTCACGAATATTAGTGTCGAAATTACAGCGGTAAAAAGCTTAGTAGATCTGAATTATCCGATTGCATTGCTACCTCCTCTGAAAATCCTCACTTCCTGAAATTTACGCCACATAAAACATTGGATTAGGCGGTGTACTGCACATTCAAAGGATAAAGTACTCGTCCAGGATTTTCAATCACCCAATATCCTTCTGCAACTTTAGAGAAATAAATTTGAGTCAGTTAAGCGACTTACTTATTTGGGCATTTGCATTGACTGTGACTATATTATGACTAACGAAATCAATCGAGGCACGAGCAACGGTCGCGATCTAGAATCGTGTATGGTGTTCAAAGAGGATTTTCACTGAAGGTGAAAGGTCACGTTTACAGAACGACTGATAGAGCCCTTGATTTTGAACCTTGGCACCTCTTATCCGATGACACTAGACCAATTAAAACGTTTTATTACCAGGTGCTTTGTAGCGCGTTGGGCTCTAGAAGCGTAGTGTTTGTGGTGACTACTTCCTGACTAGTCAGAACCAATAGAGCAGCAATGAAACCCACTAACGGTTTGGTACACGAAATACGCATGATCAGATAATGCTCACCACAGGATGCGTTAACTTCAAACCCAAACTATTGCTGGCGGAAGGCACACCGGGGCCAAGCAAAATGAAAGCGGCTGTAAGTTTTATTTGATATGCCACATAATCTGCTACACTTGTGAGCCTGCTGTCACCTCCTAGTCAGACTGGGGTTGTCCGTCATTGTGTGGTAGGCTCATTTCGAGTGAGATTCACATTAAGCGAATCTAAATGATGGCGCTCCAGTTTGACGTAATGCTCGCATATGTTCTTGTTTGCAATTTCATACTGTTTGCATCTGGTACCTGGTCGTTTGAAGATGGAGGCAGGGTTATTGAGCTAGGTCACCACCCCTCCTCTCTGTTTACACCTATTCTCGAAAATATTTTCTTATGGCTGAATGCCAGTTAAGCACCAGTACTTACTGCTGGTTTTTTGCTAACGGTGATTGTATGACTGCCTTTTCCGAATCATTTTATTTTTCCGCATACGTGACATTTACTTTGGAGAATGTTCCAGTATATTTCGATAGCAGTCTTCAAACTAAGACCAGAAGCAGTTTTAATTAATCTTCGGGAATTTACAGAATCCAATAGGTTGCCTGGTTTTTGCAATCCTTTTTTCGTGTGCATAGTGTGAAAACTTCAATGCTGGCCAAATCAATGACTGACAAGCCGGAACAAGCTATCCCTCCAGCTGTTTAAATGTTTTACATTTCAGCGTTAATCTGAACTCATACAGGTACTCTGCTGTCACCTCTAGAAAACCTCTAACACAAAGCCAGTGAAATCGCCCCTGACATCTTAAGTATTTTCATATAATACTGAAATATCGAATGATTAATCTACCGCCTTCTTGTCGGATTTCTAACTACAAGGTTTATCAGACCGTGTTCTGAGTACAAGGCAACATTGAATGAACCATTAAAACTTTGCGGAAACTTCTTTTCGGGAAAAAAACAAGGCCAAAATTACCTGGATTTTCTACCCGGAATAAAATTTATATGCATTGCTTAAACATTGTGATACATGGCTCCTTAAGTGGTGTTGAATCCTGTGGGTGCTACCTGGGAGCATCATTTTTCAAGCAGATGTGAACCACAGAAATACGGTTTTTTAAACGTACCCACAACACCAAGAGTTTGAAAACAGGATAGGCGCATAGTCACAAGTATGCGTACAAGACCTGTCTTCAACACTACTTTGCAATACAGAACGACATATGACGATTATGAATACTTCAGTATACTGATGCGAAACTTGTACTGGGTCGATACCCTCAACTAATGTATTAAATTGGATGTGTGCAAAAAAGTATTTACCGATCCCTCTAAGTTTTTTTCTTCTCATAAACGCTTACCGGCGTTTTTCCTTTAAAGTTTTTTGTTTGACTTTCTGTTCTGTTCTCAAAGAGATACAAGGCGTGTTTTAACTTAACTAGCATATCCGCTCAAATCCTGTGAATTGCTATCAATTTTCCTGATAAGATTCGATCTCTATTTGTAAACCTTATATCTCTGTAAAGCGGTGGGCCGTAATCGACTTGTTTGTCGCACCGTGAAGTACAAATGCGAGGACTTAGCAACCTCCAACTACCTTTGAAACCATGCAGCAGAAATGTTTGTCTAGGAGGTAACAGTCTTATGTTATTCTCAGTGCGAGGATGGGGAAGTGATAGGTTTTTATGTGAAAATCGTTGCAGTTTAGCGGCTTTAGCCTAGTAAAGTATACAAGATGTATATATTTGAAGACAGTGTCGATATTCAACACGATGCCTTATGCTGCTTTCAAAAGAAATCTACGCCAAGACCGGTTTTGATAGGCCTGACCTCCGGTTTTGTAGCACAACGTGACGCACACATTGATTACTATTGTCTGTTTTGTGCTCTGCGCCCGCTGTCAGTTTTTGCCGTGTTAACTATGGCTTCATGTCGCCTTTTCTATCGATCACAGAGAGCACAAGCCGTTTCGCAGCTCTACAGTTTTGTTACTTATTTTTTGAACATAATAAAATTGTTGGCTAAAAACACTTTGGAACAGGGGAATGAAGGTGCTAAACATCAGTTTGATTGTGTTCTTACTTAGCGCCGCACGTGTGCCTGGAATAAAATATTTTTCCAAAATAAAATGAGACATGAACACGCAATTTAGGATTCGTGAGGAACTTACTCAATATGTTCCATTTTTAATGACAAATGATAGGCGGCTGGACAACAAGAGTTCGAAAATAGTGCGATGAAAACGCATTTATGAGCTGTAACAAACGGTAGTAGAACGCATGTAGTTTTCTTCCGTGCAAGACTTCAACTTCAGAGAAAACACAGTAGATATATAAATTTCATTTGAGATTTACTCCTACAAGTTGGCCTAGTCTGTGTCGGAAAGGCGAGAAATACAGTTCTTTCATTCTTATAAGAAATTATAAGCTTTTTGCATCTCACAACTCCAGGGGATTTCGATCCATCGACCGCCACGCTAGTAGTTTTAAAACTTGACCGTTCGGCCATTAGAGGCTGAAAAGCATTCTGATTAACCCGCACTTTGACAGGAGTTAGCACCTGTCAGTCCTTACTCACGGAGGCCACATCACGTGATCACGCATTGACTGATTCCTCGAGTCCCGATTCCTCAGATGCAAGTTTCACTCATCTCGTGGAAACATTTTTCCTCTGAGCGACTTATGGTGTGTTAGTGATGTGAATAGATATGATAATTTCCACTTGGACTTTTGTGCCTCAAAAGTAGTCAATTGGTGTTTTAAAGTGCGGTAGCATTGTACGACTGTTTTATCCTCATTTGAATCCGTGAGTACCTGGACACAAATTTATCCACGCTCATAAATGCATACCTGGCGAGCCTTACGAATGACGACCTAGCGTTTATATCGGAAGCCATATTACATAACGATACTACGATCGGATAAAGTAGCCACATTTTCATTTTCTGAGCGGAACATATGTAAATTCGGATCACCACGGAAAGTAGCTCAATTTCATATACAACCACAGCCCTGTCTTCGCACACTAACATCTACCATTTAGAACAAACTGAATAAAGTTAGGTGAGACTGTTTCCTCTTTAGGATTTGATTGGGGAACGCAATTGTACCCTCTTCCTGTCAAAGAGAAAAACCCCATGATGCCTGCTTTTACATGTTTACTAGAAAATTCACTTTCTGTACAAGCCATCTGGGTGTTTGTAAAATTGCTGACTCGAATCAATTAGTAATTATTTGATATACGAGAATGGCCATTCCCGCAGGACTGTCGGTGAAAAAATCACCAAGCGGACAGAAGCCTTATGTTCGTTTTCAAACACAGGGTCCGATTGGTGAAATTGTGTCTCTGACAACATCGCCTCTGCATCCCTTAACTTTCTACTGGTTTGTTTGCTAAAACTTTTGGCACACTGCATTCCTACAAGTTGAACAAATGTGCAGGATTTGGGCACAATAAACGTTACGACTAGCTAACAGGTCTATAAACCTGTCTACAAAGTCACAGCAAGAATTTCAAGTTGACTCACTGATGAGTATTGCTGAAGGATCCTATACATAGGTGAGCGTTTTTCAGTAGGTTACTGCCATAAAAAGCGTTATATATAATGTTTATTTCTTATTCTGCCACAGCGTATTTATGCGGCACACAGATATTTTGTTTCTACTACACAGATCACTTCGGGAATAAACTGGATCACAACTTGAGTGGTCGTGTAGTTGGTTCGTGCCAGAGTGAAGTGCTTCGGTGTTACATCTTAGTCCTGGAAAGGCATACAAAGCCTTAGAGGCCCGTCCATTGAGCTTTATTAGAGCTGACGGTAGATCTCGAGATTCAGATGCAGCCCTATTAGTTGAATGGTTGTAATTTTTGGAGGAAGTTTATTGAATGGGATTTCTGAGTCCTCATTTCAGCAAATGTGGTACACTGTATCTATTCATAGTTCGTTGGTATTTATTTGCACAAAGACTTTTTCGAGGTATACAACAACGATGCTGGTCGGTTGTACCATTCTTGTTCGAATTCAGCATTGCAATTAGAAGGCAGATTGAAACCCTTTAACTCGGACTGTATTCACAATTGCCTTACCGCGTCGGTAAAAGCGAACCAATGGATAAATAATAAATAAGTCAAATAATCGGTACAAATTAGGTTAAGTCAGTGCTGTCACGATACCCCACGATTTGACGCAGTTCAAGTTTTTTGCTCTTCTACTGGTCCAATGTCGCACCAAAACCGGTGTACTTCGCTGGTGAAAAGATACGCTGACCATGTATCTGCAATCACCGGACATTTTCCCATCCTGGAATAAGACGAATCACACGATGGACGACGAAATGAGGACAAATAAACCATACTCATGAAGTTAAAGAAAATGGTAATCATCCATAAATATGGCAACTCAACAGACAAATCAGCTGTTTGATGACGTGCAATAAAATGGGCACTTTGTAAGTCATTCATCTACAAAAGCTTGGTCGTTTTATTGGTCGGTGAAAAACCTGAAAATGAAACCAAGTTCAGCGTTTCAGTCTATCCGCCTTTTAGATACAAAGCATTTAAAAAGTCTTACTGTTCTGCTTTTCCCATCAGAGTTACATCATCGTTATCGTTCATATCCTCCTCCTCTCGGTCGACAGGAAAACCATGTTAGCGTTATGAGATATGGCATCTTAAATGGTTTTTCTCTATGAGCATAAAGAAAAGGCCACAGAACACTGGACAGCTCCTAAGTGACACAACTTTTCTAGAATATCTTCCTTCCGGTCAGCCAACAAGCGCTTGGTTATCATACGGGCTCCCTCATCTTCTCAGCAGAAGTCAAAATTGAACGTCGACTGCAATGTACTGGATTTTATTTGATTCATTTACAATCGCCCCTCCTCTGACGGATAATTCAAACCACCATGAATACTGATGAATAATGATGAAAACCATCGTCCCTTATCCCTACCGTATACTGCCGTTATACCATCATCGGCATCACATACGGAGACAGCTAATGAGGGTAGATCTGATGAACTAAAAGAGTGAAGCACTTATCACACGCTAGGCAATCGAGACCTCTGAAGTTCTAGCTGTGTTCGGTCGTATAGTGGCGTGATTCAACTCGAACGCATAAAGTTGTTCGAATTGTTCTTCAAATTACTCGCACGGGTCCATCGATATCCTGCAGGCATGTTCACGAGAACATGGACGCCACAGTGGGTATCATTGTGAGGATTTGATCGATCCAACCGTTTTCTTCCATAGGTTGCTTTTTAGCTATTCAGCGAGCTTATTCACAAACAACCGCAACCTTCATGATGTCTTTTCCGGGATAGTGGAATGAAGAGTGCGCCTAATTAAAAATATTGCAGATGACCATTTTCATGTGTGTTTTGGCCACAGACCGATACATATTTCGATATATACTTGGGCACACTGAATAAACGGAACAATCCCACCCCGAGCGATTTGAAACCTAGCAGTATCAAAACGGTGCTTTATACCGGTAATCTTACTTAGGGTCAACCCATTGGGTTTCACAGGCCTATATAGTTGGAAGATATCCATCGTCATACAGTTTGAAAATGAAACACGAAAGAACCTGTATCATGCACAATTTTGATAAAAGTAGACGTGGGCCCTAATGTGTCCGGTATTCTTTTCTCACTTATTTTTCAGGTAGAGTCAGCTGGAACCTTCCTATTAACATACAGAGCGCTTGCAACGTAAACATATTCTATTTCCCCTTTGACCGCCAAGTGTGTGAGCTCCAGCTGGCCTCCTGGACATACGACAAGAGCCAACTTATTTTAAAGCCAAAAACAACAAGCACAGAAGAGATGCTTGAGTGGGCCATCGATAACGCAGAATTTGCAGTCACAGGAGCTCAACTAATCCTCAATAACCGGACCAGCTTTGATAAGCAGGAGTTCTCTCAGGTAGGTTGTATTCCACTGTTACCGTGCCTTGAGTTCCATTATATTCTCTGAACCGGTTAGATAACAAGAGGTCCAAAAAGATTGAAGGGAAAATTTTTCCTCGAATATTTACTTGCGATTACCGCACGCTTGGTGTTTTTAAGTCGGGCCACTTCATTTTTACTGGAAACTTCAAGGGTTCAGGGGAAGGTTTCATATCTAAGGATGGGAAATATCAGAACCTCTAAAACTTGCCCTACTCACTCCGTGTGTGGCGAACTTGTCACTCTTGTTAGTAATTCAGTGTTTATAATGGGTATGCCTCATTAGTGCTGATGACAGTAGAGTAGTGTTGGCACTGAAAGATATGCTCCGGCTTTCTACATAGGCAAGGTCATCCGGTCGACAAACTATCCTGCCGCGGTCTGAGTAAGTGAAAACCTATTATTACAGCATTCATCTTAGGGTTGCGCATGTTGTGCCGCTCCGTACTGACAGGCCTGATCAAATCACCTGTCAATTTTCACTCTATAAGAACGGAGCCGTCAGTACCATAAGTAAAAGACAAATGTCAAAGAAAGAAGGACTGCAGAACGAGCAAAGGGCAGAAGAAAATACCTTCTCCTCAAGATAACTGATAATTATGCAGACGTTTGTTAGCCGATGAAGTTCTAACTTGGTTTTTTGTATAGCACGTGCAGGCCTCGTGACAAATAATTTGGGGAGTTGTGTGGTTGGTCTCTGGCTGGTCTCTCTTCGTTGGAGATGCATGAAGATTTGGGAATTTTTCAGTAGATGTTTCTTCCCATGAGTGAGTCTGATTTATAATGAGAAGTCAGAAAGCACGGTTTGGCCGCTTAAACTCTATTGATAATTATCGGTAGTGTGTATCTCACGGAATGCCAGAGTTTTTGAACATGCAACCTCCCGACCAGTATATTCGTAATGCACCACTCATAAGGTTGCTGAAACTTCTCCGACAAGGCACGACCGGTTTTGCTGTTCCTAAGGCTCTTCAGGTAGGCGCAGTCTCCGAGTTTTCGTCAACCTTATGTGCTAATTGAAAACAAATTGCATGAAATTAGCGAAATACACTCAGTTGCGAACAAATTTGGTTCTGCGAGGGACTCAACCGGAACCCAGCTGAACCTCTCGTTTGCAATGTTTCCAGACCAGTAGTTGTGATGCTTCGAGGATCGCTCACCAACGTATTAGTTTGGTACCATTTTGCTGTGCATCTACTCTACGTGTGATCAAGTCTATTAGTGTTAAATTCGACTCAACCAAACCCAATTTAAAGATTTCACGGAGTACAAACTGTCTTCCCAAGTGGTTAGAGCGCGAATTTACTGACCGCAAGGTCCGTAGTTCGAATCCGACCTCCGCCACTTGACTTCCCCTGTCTAGGCTTGGGCAACCTGGCAGTATCTCAGCCCTCGTGCTTCCGTCGGGTGGCATGGCAGCTGGGCACCGGAAGGGTGCTACACCTGAACGCTTCTTTTTTAAACCGTCTGCTTGCAGCTCTCGCTAGTTACCATTTTTTTCGTCATAAGAGGATACGTCCCAGAGTAAATTTTCCCTTTTTTCTGACTGCGTGCAAATATAGTGCCTGAAAATATCCCACTACTCTTACTGATGGCTAACTGGTTCGTTCAGAACGTGTCGCCCACTTTTCTACTTTTCTCATTATATGCGGAAAGACAATGGAAATTCTGCTTTACCACGCTAATTAGTCTTAAGAATATAAGCTTAAACAGGAGAGTAGCATTCACCCAACAGCGCAATAATAGTGCTGACTTCAGTGATAAAGAAATTTTCGATTCGTTTATCGGATTTACCTGTTGTACATTTCTGCGAGCATAGCTTGCTTTTCATAGAAGTGAGAGGGAAAGAAAAATTCACAGTCTGTAATAAACGCACTGACAAGACAAATTTATTTTACCCAAACTCAAAAAGAAATCTTGGAGACCGAATGAGCGATCATGTATAAAAATACTCGTATAAGCATTACAACAGTACTAGTCATTCGGCAAGTCAGCATTCCTTGGTTGTTGAATAATCTCCGAGACTTGACAGTCACTCATTTCATACAGCGATTCTGAATGGTTTCGATGATAACTAACATCCTTTCTTTGTATATATATATAACTTCATTTGATCCTCTTTTTCCTACCCTGGGGGGCCACTGTAAAAACGTTTGGCGAAAAGCGTTCTCAACATGGGTGGGGAAATTTGGTACACACTATCTTCTTTTGTAAACAGAACAACACGAAACTGCGGAGGTCTTCCATGAAGGATCAACACTCCGTTTAAGTGTGCCTTGGAGAAACTCCAAAACTATTGATCAATTTTTGTGGTGTTCCACCAATCAACCTTTTCAGCTTCATACGTTTCCGACTTTTGGACCAACCGCTAACAGTGACGCCTTCGACAACCACCGCATTTGATGTGATGGATGCTGTCGATAAAACTTATTCTCGACCTAGTCAGTTCCTATCATTGTCCCAAACAGTTTTGTAGTGTCACCCTGGAGTCAGCATCCTGTGTATGTATGTTTCACTTAGAGCAGATAATAGTATTGGTGGCGCTATGATGTAAAAGTGAACATGATATGTAGAGAGCGACAGAAAATGAAAACTAGTTAGTTAACAGTCATTCCATTTCAAACAAGCGCTGTGTAAAACACTGGCTTTCGAATTCTCCGTTTTGCTCATCATTTGAAAAATATTAGGAACGAGGCCACCATGTAGCTGGTTTCAAACATGATTGCAAGTGAATGGCTTAGCGTGGCTTAGCCAACTTCAGCTATTCCACTATCAACAGCTGGTCAGGTGAACACTATCGTGACAACACTCCTGGTTGATATGCCTATTAGTATTTTATGTCTATCAGCTCTGTATGTTCCGGTATTAGTGGTGAACTGGAAGCAACCACAGAAGGACTCACATGGGCAGTACACCTTAACCCAAGTTTGGAGTTCAGGCCGAAAGGCTGTCAACATGGAGGTCAAATATGTGAACATGAATAAGTGCATAAAACTTGGTAGCGGCTACATTAGCTGAGATTCTGACCAATTTACGTACACGCATTTACATGCTTTACTAATCAAAGCGATACAGAAGCAAAGAACAGAACAAATATCAGCGAATCCTGTTTATTTTAACAGATTAAAACAAAACTTACCATGAAGTCGGCACATAAGATTACAAGTCAACATCTCAAGACAAAAGCAATTTGTCTGGAAGACGCAGGCGAACTAGGGAAATCATTTGAAATTCATTGAGGCATACAAATTTCCGACGACAAATGAACCTTGTTCATGGGCCTTCTGCATTGTTGGCCTTCACTTAGTGATACGGAAAGCTCAATTGCAGTACTTTCCTTAATTATGATAACCCAGTCAGTGAATATTTCGCTTTATAGTTCATGAAAATGGTCAAGTTAGTCCCGGGTTGTTCCTCGTAGGAATGACACAAAATGCAGAGCTTTATAAACCATATCTTTTGTTCATATATAGACACATAATCGTGCCAAATAACTTTTGCCACTACGTGTCACAGTATTTCGGTGGTGATCTCCTCATCGACATATTATATGACTTGTTTTCCTTAAAGAAGAGCAAATACCGTCACGATCGACCAAAAAATAATATATTGAGAGCATCTTCGGTATTTAGTTAGGATTTGAGATGACTAAGTGGTCAGAGGGCAAATTCACTGACCTGAAGGTCCGTGGTTCGAACCCGGCTTCCCCTGTCTAATCTTGGGCAGCCTGGTAGTATTTCAGCCCTCGTGCTTTCTTCGGGTAGATAGCAATTTGGTACCGAAAGGATACTACAGCTGAGCAGCCTAGTTGGAGGCGCAATTTTGGAGGCTTATGGATACAGAAATCCGCCGAGACGGCTCCAGAAAAACTACTTTAATGGGAAAAGATTTTCAACTTATTAAGTTAAGTTTCCGTAACCAGGCGGAGTTTTCTCGTCCAGTAGGATGGTAACCGGAAGGATGGCGAGTCGGTAACGTTGTCAAATTTCGTTACAGGCTGCTGACGAAAAAAAAACTTTAGATTGAATTCGTCAGAATACTCATAAGAAATGGGTAGCTCTTAGCCTTGGTCATTACCTGGTTTCTATGAATACTAAGAAGAATAGATTACAGTTTTTGGAATAGTCTAGTTATTCTACGCCTCACAGAGAATCAAAATGCCTCCCGTGCTCAGCTTGATCGAAGAGCACCAGAAATGGTTTATTAGAAGTCTCCCGTTTCCGTCAGCTAATTAGTCCTCTGAGACCGCACTTCTATCGCTGTCACCGCAAGAAAGGTAGTGCTTTTCAAATCACTATCACACGCGGATGTTTAGAATACCATCCCAAAGCTTCTGGTACAAATCTGGATGTCACACAGTTAACTTTCGATTCAGGCCGAAAGGCTGTCAACATGGAGGTCAAATATGTGAACATGAATAAGTGCATAAAACTTGGTAGCGGCTACATTAGCTGAGATTCTGACCAATTTACGTACACGCATTTACATGCTTTACTAATCAAAGCGATACAGAAGCAAAGAACAGAACAAATATCAGCGAATCCTGTTTATTTTAACAGATTAAAACAAAACTTACCATGAAGTCGGCACATAAGATTACAAGTCAACATCTCAAGACAAAAGCAATTTGTCTGGAAGACGCAGGCGAACTAGGGAAATCATTTGAAATTCATTGAGGCATACAAATTTCCGACGACAAATGAACCTTGTTCATGGGCCTTCTGCATTGTTGGCCTTCACTTAGTGATACGGAAAGCTCAATTGCAGTACTTTCCTTAATTATGATAACCCAGTCAGTGAATATTTCGCTTTATAGTTCATGAAAATGGTCAAGTTAGTCCCGGGTTGTTCCTCGTAGGAATGACACAAAATGCAGAGCTTTATAAACCATATCTTTTGTTCATATATAGACACATAATCGTGCCAAATAACTTTTGCCACTACGTGTCACAGTATTTCGGTGGTGATCTCCTCATC